AATTTGTCAATTCTTTTTATTTTCGTATGTCCCACATAATTTGTCATTTTCTGTTTTGGAATATAATTATACGTTTTAATCACATTTTAAAATTCATAATTTATTATTTTATTTTATTTTAAATGAACTATTTAGTCGCCTTGTGATGTTTTGTGCATATTACACTTCGACCTGACCCAACCTATCGAAACCCGGATCCCGTGCCCGCAGTTCGACCTGATTGAGTGATGAATTGGATGATGGGTTCGGTTGGCCTGAACCGCCCTGGACCGCCCTCAAACCGGTCCAAGGGGTCTTATATATATATACTGCTTCCCGGTTCACTGGACAGATCAATCCTCACTCCTTCACATCGCGATATTCACTCTCTGGAGCCCTAGCTTTCCCGACGAACGCGATCGACCTGTCTGGTGCATTCCGGCGAGTTTGGCCATCGGAACTTGAAGTTCATCCACTGTGGTTGTATTACAGCTTGTTCTAAAGCTGTTCATCGGTTTGATTTATCGATTCTGTGTTTATGAGCTGTTCGTGGTGTAATTGATTGTCCGCGATGATTTAGGCTTAGAATCTTGAGATTTCTTTCGATTAGGTTGTTAATCGCGCTGATTGTGCGTTTCTGTGGATGTTGGTAGTGTTTGGGTCGAGGTTGTGTGTAAGTGTTGCTAGTCGGTTGAAATATTGGGTAAACTGAGTCCGAACTCCTTCGATTAAGAAAGTATATAAAAGATTCGATGTTTCCTGTTTCATATGTGTTCGATTAGTTGTAAACTACAAGTATTAGATCCTAAATTTGAATTACACGCCTTAATCTTAATATGTAATTATTTTTATTAAATTATAATTAATTTTACTAATATAATTTTTAATTACTTACTAATTAAATAATAATTAAACTCTGTGACAAAAAATAAGACAATTTAAGTGGAACGGAGGTAAGTATAATGAAGAAAAATACGTGATATGTAAATAAAATTACTGAGTAGTTATGTTATGGTTTCTTTTTATATATATAAATTGTGTTGAAATTAACTATAATAGATATTGTATTTGACAATAATATGTATGGTATGTTCTATGTTAAAATAATACATATATAAGAGATAAACGAACTACATAATCGACGACATAATTTACTATTGATTTTAGCAAAAATATAAAAAAAAAAAATACACACACACATACAAATATATATTTTAATTTAAAACAATATATATTATTCCCCATAATAGATTATCTATTTTTCTATTTTAGTTCGTCTCGTAACAAAATATCTATTTTTTTACTAACTGGACTATTTACTTAACATTACAAATATCCTTACAACTTACAATATATTACACAAATATAATTACATTTATAACACACAATACTAATAAAATTATTTTAATCATTTCTACTTTATTCATACTACATCTCAATATAATACTAATATTTCTAAAATTTCATGAAAAAATAAATAGATACATAGTTATTGGATTGATGGAGTATATTACAGAACAAATTGTGGTTATTCCATCTTATATGCGTACACAATAACTAATCTCATATAAAAGAATTCTTTAAGTTACATGAATAATAAAATTATGAAAAAATTAAAAATAAAAATTGTATTAATCAAAATAATAGAATAAATAAATTGATCCGGACGAAACGGACATACTAAAGAATTGCATTACACCCCGAGACGATAATAAGAATCAATGAATAATTAAAATTAAAAAAAAAATCATAAAATCCACGTGGCAATGTATAATTAGTTTCCAGATCCGGGACTCGGACCGGATTTCTTAATCCCATCAAGGGTTAAGGAATGGCCATCTCCGCCGTGACTCGGACCGCCGGTTTTCATTCCTTCCAAATACAACTCTTCTAGAACCTTCTCGATCTCTCCCTCGATCTTCATCTTCCCCAACGGTCGACCTTCGCAGGGAACCACTGAACAAACCACCAAAATACAAACAACAACTACAACCACCAATCCGATTACCTTCAATTTCGCCATATCTTCTTCTTCTGAATAGTAATCTGTGATTTCCTGAGAGAATAATTGGACTCTGGAGAATTTATAGAGCTCATGATCAAAGGTGTGTAATTTTGACTGTGTAATTTTCAAAATTGGAGCATCCATCTGCTGCGGATTGGAATTTGGAACTTGGAAGTGATAATGGAAGAGTAAAAAAAGGGGAGTTTGAAATTGGGATGACCAAATTAATTTCAAGTCCCCAACTTTGAATTTCGTTTTAATTTCATGTGAATTTGTAGACTTTGTGTTGATGTGTCTTTATGTGGTTGGGAGAATTGTTTTGACGAGCGACTGGATAGATCTGGACCGTTGGTAGATCAAAATGGACGGTGGGGATCCCTCCGCCCGGCCGGCTTTGGCGGAACTGGTTTTGCTTCTGCGTCACGGTTCAAATGCTGCAATTTATGTTAGATTTTCTTCCACTATCGATATAGGCATGTTCTCGTTCCACCTATTATGATCGTATTGTTGTTTCTATCCGTCCCATATCTCATATTTTCTTTTTAAAAAAATGATTAAGCATCTTAATTTTATTTTAAATTATATAATTTAATTTTTTTTAATTTTAATTAAACTAATTATTCATCTTAATTTTAATATATAATAATTTAATTATAAATTAATTATTTTCACTAATATATTTCCTAATTATCTACTAACAAAAACATCCAATATGGGATGAAGGTACTACTATTTTTTATATATATGTTCGGTTACTATATTGATTAAGTCAAATTATTAGTAAATATCTATAAAAATAAAATATAGTATATTTTTAAATCACATATTATATAATAAAAAATATATAATAAGAAATAATAAAAAATAAATTAATAATTAATGACGAATTTTTAATCTTGTGGCACGGTCAACCCTATATGAGTAGGGTCATGGATGGATCTACATGGGTAGGGGGACGGTTGACCCCAATCCCCAAATATATATCACCTCTGTCCGGGCTCTAAAGCTTGCATTTACTTTATTTGTGTCAATATTTGAATATTAATTATTATATTAAAATATATTATAAATAAAAAAAAATATTTTTATTAGTATCTTATAATATTAATATAATAATATTTGTACAAAAATATTATAAAAATATTTTTAATATTAAGTACAATGACACAAAAAATAAATGTATTTCTTAGAGGCACACGGAGAGATTATTTTTTAGTATAAAAAAAATAATAAATAATTCTTTTCTAAAATATTTAATTTCTCACATATTTTTTTACCCAATTGTGACGAAATAAATTGAAAATGACAATATTGAAACGATAAAAAAGAAAACTAATATTTTGTCTTTTTAAAATTTAGAGTTGATTCTGTCACTGACTTTACTAGACTCTATAACACGTACATTGTAGCTACGTGAGCATAACATTAGTCTTGTGTGTGGTAGAGTGATATGAATGTATTGGCCTTAGTAAAACAACTTTAGATCAATCCTCCCTTGTATAAGTCTAACATGGATCCAAAAAAACATAAAAGATTTATATTGTAACATATTAAATACATAAGAAAATACAAAAGTTGCTGTTTACTTTCGCTTCGAAACACTTCGGATTGACGAGGTCTTATATGAGCGAAGTCTGAAATAATAAAAGGGAATCGAACTTCGACTCAATAGCAAAGTCCCCAAGCCTTGCTTGTTAGCCCAAAAGCAGGGTTCGAAAATATCGAACGAGATTCAACAATATCGAACAAAGCTCAACAACGTAAAACGAGCCCAAAAGCCCGTTATTTTGGAAATAAAAAGCTTCAAAAGCGAGCCCAATGATCATATTTAGCCCAAACCAAAGCTCTAACATGTGATTGACCTAGTCCAATAATTTTGATTCAAAAACTTAGTCAAAATTTACCCAATACTTGATTGACATTGCAAGTGAGAATAAAATGGAAGTAGTTGAAAGAGAAAAATCATTAGAGTTTGGTATCTAGCATGATATACAATAAGTTCATCCAAGGCTTTTAATTTTATTTCTTTTTAATGTTAATTGTGCTTATCGATCATAATTATGTATAGTTCCTTTAGTTGATTTGATTTGTATATTTGAAAATAAAAATTATGCAAGAAATTTTTTACAACTAAATATATATTAATATTATTAATTTTTATATAAATTATAAATATATATTATGCATATAATTAATTTATATATAAATAAAAATATCAAAAATAATCTTACACAATTTCAATAATTAATACTACCTCCGTCCCACATACCGTGTCTATGTATTTTATAAGGGGTATAATTAGTAGATAATTAAGAATGTATTAGTGAAAATAATTATCTTATAATATAAATAATTATAAATTAAGATTAAGATAACTAATTGGTTTAATTAAAATTTTTTAAAAAAATAAAATTAAAAAGTTTAAAATGAGATTAAAGTGTATAATCATTTTCCAAAAAATAAAAGTGACATGGTATGTGAGACAGACAGAAACGGCAACCTGGACATGGTATGTAGGACGGGGAGAGTAAAATATTATTCTCTCGGTTTGTTCAAAATGCATTACACATTTTACTTTTATTGTCTTATATTTCTTTATTTAGTAACAACATGTTCTATTACCTATTATTACAAATACATTTGGTTTAGTCCAAAATAACATCAAGTATCATTAAAATACAATATTTTTTAATATTCATGCAAAAGTTAAATATAACTTAAAAATATTACTGTATTATTATTTTTTTTATAACATAAAAAATTTCATAAATTATTTGACAAATGTATTTGTATAAGATAAATTAATAATCTGCAAATTAAGTTCAACAAAACAAATTATATTAAACAAAATAAATCATATGTAATAGACAAAACTTTGAACCTTTTAATTGTATGCATTTATAATTTATTTACAAATAAACACATCTTTATAATTTACTCTTTTTTTAAAAAAAAAAAAAGAAAAAAGTAAAAAGATCTTTATAATTTACTCTTATAACTGTCAGTGTGGCACAAAATAGCTCAGAAAAAGTAAAAGATGAAGGAAATGAACAGTGCTGGGGGTACCAAGGGCTCCACCTCCGTCTCCGCCGGCGCAACCGTCGACAAATCGATGAAGGAGGAAGACGTCGATTCCAGCCCCTTTCACGAAGGGGAAAAGGTCCTTGGTTTTCATGGCCCCTGCCTTTACGATGCCAAGGTAATAAATACGCCATGTTTTCTTTTAGCTATTCACCAACTAAATCATAAGAAACCCTAAGGTCTTTGATTCTGTGGAACTATTCTGTAATCACTATTTTTCTTCGGTGAGAAAGAACTACTCTTGTGTTTACGAGGAGTGTGGAATTTGATACACTCAAAATTCACTGAGAATCAAACAATTTACGCGATTCTGCGAAGAAAGTTAAACGATGAACCCAATTTCGTGTCTTTTGTTTGTAATTTGATTGTATCACTCCTGATTAACATCTATCTGAAGTTTTCCCCAATTTTGATTACCCTTATAAAGATCATCACATGACAAGATCTGCGAATTTACATAAAAAAAAAAAAAAAGGCCTTCAACTAATGGGTAACAGTTTCAGGTATCGATCAATTTTAAATTACATACTGTGATTGTTCTAACACTACGTACACTTGCCTTAATTTGTAGTGGATATCAGTTGTTAGTGCCAAAAGTTCATAAGCCCTCTGAAAATCTCTTCCATGGTGGTTTCCTTGTTGTTTTCAATTGTTTGAATTATGTTTTGGTAATGGGTGTGAATTTTATTACTTAACTTTGGCTTATTGATTTCATTACATCTTCTTTACTGTGGTGCTTTTGGTTTTGGTTACAAGATTCAAAAGGTTGAATTTCGTAAGGATGAATGGAGGTACTTTGTTCATTATCATGTAAGTATAGTCCCCGCATTTCTAGCGCCGTAGGTCTTGCATTGTTTTGTTTTATTCGGCATTCATTTCCATATTTACAAACTCAGTTGCATCTGTAAAGATGGTATGTGTGATTTATGGATATTTGGGGCTGCCGTGATTGACGCCTTAATTTTTTGTTTATCTTCAGGGATGGAACAAACAGTGAGTTCTTCTCCGCTCTATCTATTCTCAAAACATGATGTTTTGGAGCTTCAATTATCTTTTTCTATGAAGGGCAGTTCATTTATAATTCAAAGCTTTTTCTTGTGTTGCAATTACATTCACAGAGCCTTTTGATGTGGGTTTTCGGATTTAAAAAAAATAAGAAAACCTCTGCATTGGCAACTAAATTAATTCCTCCATATACAAAGTTTTTACAGATTTACGTCAATAGTTGTATCATGTTCCACTACTTTCAAATAGTTTTGATGTGTAAACTTTGATTCAATAATTGTGGTTCTGGAGCCAAAAATCTTGAATTTTCAAGCCATCAATGCCATTTGAGTACTTACTATTCCCTCGAACAAAATATACATATATATATATGTATATAGTGAAAAATTATGGGAATTTTATAATTTTGAATTTTATCTTCTTTTCTCTTTTACAGCTGGGACGAATGGCTCGGTGTTGACAGCCTTTTGAAACGTACTGAAGAGAATGTTCAGAAGCAAAAGGAGCTAAAAGAAATGCACTCAAGGCCTGGACGTCTATCACAAGATAAAACTAAAACTCCGGCCGGTGAGACTCATTTCTTAATACTAGTTGATAGAGTTGTTATCTGTCTCTTGATCAGTTACATTTTTTCCTTTTTCTCTATAAAGATGATCACTTTCAAAGGAAGCCTTGATGTCAGTGATATATTCCGATCATTAAACTCTTTTCTCTTTAATTGGATTTTGTCTGTTATAACGTAGAATTTACTATCCGTATTGCATAGAACTTTGCAGCAGTTACTGCGGAATGCTGCTTACAAATCAGGCGAATAGAAAAATGTCATCTTAAAATGGCAACGCCAAAAGGACACATTGATTCACCTAGGTTATAGTTACGGCTGCTGCGTAGAGTTGATTTACGTCTTTAAACCTTATGTTTTCTTTTTCTCCCTATAGTTATGAACTTTATTAATCGTTGCATATTTTTGTAATATCTCCCTTTATGTTAGATTGATCCATCTTGCGCTTTCGTTCCATCTATCTATGTTTGGTTGATATGTTTTCTTTTCCCGTCTGCCATCATAATCATGTTGCAAATCTTTTGCTCGAGGCTTCCGTCTTCCTGTGCTGATTTATGGATTGCAATGGTGATGCAGGGGTTAGAGGCAGGAAGCGGAAGAATGAAACCGTTGACAAAGTAGTGTTTTTTTCTGTACCTGTTTTATAATTCTTTTGTTGATATTTTGAACTGCAGAGGTCACACGTCTAAATATCGATATATTTTCTATTTTGGCTGTTATCTCGGAACAAAGATTTTATCTGTACATTTCTTTTGCGTCATAACTGATCAATATTGAAATCAGATCTCTATGCATTATGCAGCACATTCCAAATTCCCCACGTGTGGCCGGTTTACGTAACTGTCAGATTGAGTTTGTTTGTTTGGGGTTTTACGTCATGATTTTTCGAATCTTTATTTTGTAGGAGGTTGCTCCACCTGTCGAGAAGGTGAATATCCAAATTCCATCTACCTTGAAGAGACAACTGGTCGATGACCATGAATGCATAATACATCTCGGCAAGGTAAAATAAAAAATTAATTATACATAAATTTTAGAGGCGGACTATAACTGTATCGGCTTCATTACTATACTTCAACCCTGACTACTTAACAATCTAACGTAAATCTTTTTATCTGAAAAAACCTTTCTTGCAGCTTGTGAAGCTTCCTTGTTCTCCTAATGTTCATGAGATATTGAGCAAGTTTCTCGACTTCCAGATGAATAAAGATGGCATGTAAGTTGTGTGAGAAGCAATAATCGTACATTTTGGATGATAATCGAACGTTTCGATTGTGCACTTCTTCAAAACGGATCTTAATTTTTTCTCATCTATCTAATTTTTCTGTGGATGAAGAATAGTTGACCCGGTTGTAGAGGTCGTCGACGGGCTTCGCTCGTACTTCGACAAAGCATTACCCGTAATGCTTCTCTACAAACAGGAGCGCCGACAGTATCGAGAAGCGATCACCGATAATCTCTCCCCGTCCAGTGTCTACGGAGCTGAACATTTATTAAGACTCTTCGGTATGCTAAAATCTTTATTTAAAATTGTTTAATTCTTTTACGATGATATGAACGGTTAATTCATCGCGGTCAGTGAAATTGCCGGAGTTACTGTCGTGTATGCACATCGAAAAGGAAGCTTTAACCGAGCTGCAGCAACGATTGCATGATATTCTCAGGTACTCGATTTTTTATTGGATATTCGTAACCGTCGTTTGTGACGTCTGTCGTAATTGTTCGATTGTTTGGCGCAGGTTCCTCCAGAACAACCAATGTGCGTTTTTCCTTTCGAATTACGAGAAGCCGCCGTCATCGTCGTCGTCGTCGGACGGGTCTCCGACCACGGTCAAGCAAGAAGATGATAAATAAGTCGGAAATTGGAATAGAGAATGGTATTATTATGTAAGTAGTAGAAGTATCGTTTTGCATATGATATGTGATTGTGGTTACATATGTCTTGTTTGAATTTGGATTCTCATCATCGAAAACTCTACTTATGAATTAGCTCCTTGTATAGTTAGTTGTCTTTTTTTTTTTAATTTTTTTTTAATTTTTTTTTTAATTTTAATGACGTGGGAATCCGTGGCTGTTAATTTTCAAGTACTTTTTGGGTAAATTTTCAGTCGAACTTTTATTTGATACCTGGCGGGTCTTTTTTTTTTTTTTTTTTTATGACGTGAGAATTCGCAGCCTCTACCCGAAAGTGTGCATTGGGTAAACCCCCGACTGAATTTAATACCCTGCAAATCAGATCCGACGGAAAAGTTACACTAGGCTAACTATATGTGGCAAGTGACCTGAGGTGTCGGGGTTTGACCAGGTGGGTCTTTTTTGTTTTGTCTTGTTTTGGTCTTAGTGTTTTGTAGTCTCGGGAATCTGTCCCAACGTAAATTTTAAAAAATTGTATGATGTTTTTTTATATTTAAAAAAAAAAAAAAATCACACAAGGGAGATTCATGTTTTTTATGATTAAAAAAATATTTCTCATCACACTTGGGAGATTTTATTTAATATTTTTAAATTTTATTTAATATTTTTAAAAATATAAAAAGGCGCTACCAATAATTTTAGCCTAGGGTTCGAAATGAGAAATGATATTTGATCAAATACGTAATATAGCCGGTGGCAAATTTAAAAAAAATATTTTTATATTGGTAAATGAATTTAATGGGATAAATAGTGAAATACGATAAAGGTGATAATTTTTAATTATAGTTCAAATTAGTGCCAAATGGACCGGGCCCAATTTTATATCAAACCTAAGTCCTGTCACAGCCCAATTTTAAAATATTGATATTAATTATATTTTGTGTAATTTTTGTATTAAAAAAATAAATTGTATTAATATAAATCTATGCAATTATGATATAATGATATTTTTTTATTAATAATTAAGAATTTGAGCATTAAACATATAATCAATTTTCTATTTTATTATATATTAAAAAAAATATCTAAAACTTAAATTGTTTTGATAAATCGGTTTGGGCTAGACACAGGCCTGATTTTTCAACATGTAGGACTGATCCGGCCCGAAAATCTTTTGAGCTTAATTTTTTAGAGTAAAAATTAAAATTAATTAAAATAAAAACATGTTATTTTGTTTATAATAATTGAAAATATAACTAAATAATACTAATAATTTTGTTTATAATTATTTTGTTTATATATATATATATATATACATTGAATATACTGAAATATAAAATAAAAACAAATTTATAAAAGAATATGTTAAAACTTTCTAAAATGATCTAGTAGTTGAATTTTATACTATGCTTTTATAAATTAGAAAATGATAGTTTTAACTGAAATTGACTATTTAACTTTGAGAAATATTTAGAATATTAATTATTATTTTATTATATATATAAATAATAATGATTATTTTTTTGTCACACACAATTTCTCTTTGGCAATGTTAAGTTACAATGATTAAGAAATAATGTAATTAAATTTTTAATCGATTACAATTCGTTTTTTATTATTATTATTATTATTTTTCATTTTTTCTTCAATCGATTTAAATAGTTTTTCCCTAAATTTAATTATAGCATATAAAGGAAGGGACTATAATCATCATTTTATAAAAGTTATATAAGATAATAATTTCACCTAAATAAAATCCAAAATTGACATAAGCCTATATATAAACATAGTCATTAATTATTAAAAATATCATAAAATAATTGTCTAAACATTCTTCTAATTAGTCAAATATTAATATAAAATTTATCATACGACAAGTCAGCAAAATTTGTAAAATAAATGTACAAGCACAACCAATGAAATACTCCATCCGTCATGCAAATGTGTGTTCATTTGACCGGACACAGGTTTTATAAAAATGAGTAATAATTGTTACTTTTTTCTTTTATTGTAAAAAAATGTACAAAAATGTAATAATTTTTTACTTAAAAAGATAACGAAAATATTTTTCAATGACAAGCCAAAAAGGAAAATGAGCATAGATTTGAATGACGGAGGGAGTAATAAATATAATAGCATAATTTAATTCTTATTAGTATATATATGTGTTATTCATTAATTAATTTCCACACTGACATTAAAAGTATGAAATAATTATCTATTTATTTCATATTGATATTTGCAAGTTTTTTTTTTTTTTTTCCTCAACGCAAACACATTATTATTTAAAAAAATAAAAATAAAAAATAAATGCAAACAAATCCTAAAACCACATCATTAATTAAATCGGAAGCGTTGTTTCGATTAGTCCTAAAAGCATTATTTCCAAAAACACATTATTTATAAATTGCTTAAATATGGATTCATTTCGTAAATTAAATCTCACAAAATTAATATTCATTTATGTCTTTGTATATTCAATTTTAGATTTAGTAGATTTGGTCTTATCCATAAATTAGATTATTTAAATTTGAGTATATCGAGTATGTTTTGTATTGCCTATATATAGCCTCTTATTTTGATGATCGATAAGATAATTTTATTATTTTTTTCCAAAATTTCTCACATGTCTATTTCTTTAGTGCCGTAAATATAGCCTACAAACCTGTGTTCTCCGGGTACATTTAACCTGAATTGTACTCGGAGGTCTTGTGATTTTGAGATCATGCATTTGCAAGCCTGTCTTTTTGCAAATCTGTCTCGTTTGCGATCTGTCATTTGTTCGCTGTCTGTCTGGTCCTGCGTGCAATCTAAAATTTGTCTGCAATCTGCATATGAAATCTATCTGCGATCAGTCTTCTATCTACCATATGTCCACTATCTGTCTTGTTGCCTGCGTACGATCTGTCATCTGTCATTGTCTATTTGTTGCTTGCGTGCGATATGCCATCTTTCGTTGCTTGTTTGTTGCCGAAAATATGTCTACGATTTGTCATTTGTCTGCTGCTTGTCTATTGCCTGCGTGCGATCCGATATGTCCGATGTTTGCGATTTGTCTGTTTTCAGCTCCGGTGGTCATGTGGTTTTCGACTCCAGTGGAGAGTCATCTTGTTTTCGGCTCCGGTTGAGTCATTTTGTTTTCGACTCCGGTTAAGTCATCTCGTTTTCGACTCCGGTGGAGTCATCTCGTTTTCGGCTCCGGTGGAGTCATCCCTTTTCGGCTCTAGTGGAGTCATGTCGTTTTCGGCTCCGGTGGAATCATATCATTTTTTTTGCTCCAATGGAGTCATCTCATTTTCAGCTCCGGTGGAGTCATCTCATTTTTTGCTCGGGGGTGAAAATTCATCTCGTTTCTAGCTTCGATGGAGAGTCAACTATTATTTTTATTTGTGTTTATGTTCAACTTTCTTATCAAACTCAAATTGGTTTCTGTTATACTACTTGAGTTTGAGGAGATGTTGAAATATTTTAGATATTCAGTTTTACATTGAGTAGATTTATATTTAGATTTGGTCTTATCCATAAATTATGAGTATGTTTTGTAATGTCTATATATATAGGCCCCTTATTTTTATAATTAATAAGACAATTTTATTATTTTTCTCCAAAATTTCTAACAACTTTTATATAGTATTATATTGATAGTGGACGTAAAAGTGTTTCTAAAAGACAAAAATATCTCTATTTTATGTAATTATTGTGAAAAAAGTTGTGATAGTTTGCAAAAATGGGAAGGTAGTTATAAAAAATGAAAATGAGACTATTGTTTTAAGACGGATGAAAATGACAGAATGAAAGTATTTTTTTAGAACCAAAGAATAATTAAATACTCCCCCTGTCCCATAAGAATTATATGATTTTATATTTTTGTTCATCTCAAAACAAGATATCATTTCCTTATTTAGTAATTATACTATATATCTAACATAATTAATATATTTACAAATTTCAATATATTGTACAATGTCATTGTTGTGGAAAAAATAAACGTTATTTTTTTTTTCGGGACGGAGATAATATTAACTTTTATAAGAAAGATGATAATATATATATATATATTGAAAATCACGTAAAAGAAAAATTAGAAATCTTTAAATTATGCAAATTAACAATTGAGGACAAACAATTCTCCACAGACAAATTTAAAAACATAAAATAAAATAAAATAAAATATATAATTAATTAAAATGCCCACAAAACAATTTACTAATTAATTAATTAAAATAAATAAAATTCAATCCCAAATTCCGACTTCCATGAAACCCTCCCCCGTCGCGCATCCTCTGAACATTCCAACGGTGTTGAATCCCCACGCCACCTCCCCTTTGCTCGACACCGCGATCAGCCCCGCCTTCCCGCCGCCGTCCAGCCTCTTTCCGATCACCAAGTCCACCGCCGCCTGGAGGCTCAGCCCCTTGTACTCCATAACCGCCGCCACGTCACGGGCGAGGGTCCCCCGGATTATCGCCTCGCCTTCGCCGGTGCACGAAACGCCGCAGAGTTCGCCGGCGTAAGTTCCGGCGCCGATCAACGGCGAGTCGCCGATACGCCCGATCATTTTGTTCATCAGGCCGCCGGTGGACGTCGCGGCGGCGCACCGCCCCTCGCCGTCGACCGCCACGCAGCCGACGGTCTCCGGCGCGTACACGCTGATCGGAAGCCCGTTCATTATCATCGGCGGCGCCTCCGCCGCCGCGCCGCATGATTCTGATCCGACGGTCGGTATTCTGTAGTCGAACTGCAGAGGGATATTGAATTTAATTTTTGAAATTTTTTTAATTAATTATTAGACATTGTTAAAATTTTAAGTGTTGTGTGTGTGCACGTGAGTTGCACGTGACTTACGAGGATTGAATTGGCTTCCTTTGCCAATTTGAGCATGCCAAGATTGTCCTCGGTGATGAAATACTCTGTGTCGACCATCTCCACACCCTATTTCAAAAATAAATAAATATATATATATAAATATGATATCTAAATTTAAAATAAAACCAAATTTTTATACTTTATTTTAATTTAATAAATAACATTCATATTGATAATAGAAATGTTCTATTAGTTCATTAATTATTTCAATTACTACTTCCTTTATTAATTATTAGTTTAATTTAATTAAACTATATGTGTTACTAAATGTAACTGTATAATGTAAATACTCCTAAAGAAATTAGTACTTTGTATTCACAAGATTGAAAATAACAAAATAATTAAAGATATAGGAGGATCATATTTTTTGCTCTATTTGTTTGAGGTTTATTTTTTTACTAGAAAAAATATTATACATCCTCCGTCGTAACAAAGTATCCATTTTTTTATTTTATTACGTCACATAACAAAATATCCATTTCTTTTTTTAGTAACTATAATATCTACCTAACATTACAAATATCCTTACAACTTACAATATATTACACAAATGTCATTGCCTTTATATCGCACATACTAATAAGGTTATTTTAGTCATTTCTACTTTATTCATACTATATCTCAATATAATACTAATATTTCTAAAACTACTTGCAAAAAGCACATAAATATTTACTTATGGGACGGAGGAAGTACATTTTATTATTTTCATTTGTCACCTTCAAAAAATATTACCTTTTTATTATATTAAAAGTAATAGGACATTAATATGAAAACATTCTTAATTTTAATTTTAAGTATATAAATTACAAATATATTATTCATTGCACATATACATAAAAATATATAAAAAGTAAAAATATCAAAACAAATCTTATAGATTTATATTAACTAATAAAATATTAGTCACTCTAACTGCTTAATAAGTTTGTATTCACATTTTATATCATTATACTTAACATTAAAAATATTTTTATATTTGTATACAAATTTTATTATTTTTATATCATTTTCTTTTAATTTATATTGAATTTTGATATAATAATTAATATTTAAATATTAAAAGTCAGAAAACAAATATAAACATAGATAGTACTATACCTCCGTGTGCTACACTGTAGAAAGCACACTGTAGACACGGTGGGGTGTAATTAGTAGATAATTAAGAATGTATTAGTAAAAATAATTATCCTATAATATAAATAATTATAAATTAAGATTAAGATAACTAATTAGTTTAATTAAAATTTTAAAAAAATAAAATTAAAAAGTTTAAAATAATATTAAAGTGTGTAATCATTTTTCCAAAAAAAAAAAGTGACATGATATATGAGACGGACAGAAACGGCAACGTAGACATAGTACATAGGAAGGAGGGAAGGAGTATTATTTTTTAAGTCTTCTATAAAAACCTAAAGTAAATATTTGTCTGGTTTCTTATAAAAAAATAATTCCATTTTTTTTCATATAAAACACTCAAATACACATAAATATATAAACATAAATATTTGATATGATACTCCTTTTTGTCTGCACACAACGAGTAAATTAGACCTTAGAGCTAGAGTTAGTATTTTTTTAAAAAAATAAACTAATGATAAGAGTTATCCCAAAATCCACGTCCAAAAACACCTTTATTTTGTTTACTCATTTATTGACTAAATATTATATGTATATATATATATATAAATTGAACTTAGATACGTATAACTGCGAACCTGTTGTTTGGCAAATTTTTCAGCGCCGGAAAAGGCGAGGTAAGAATGCGGCGACTTATCCATAACAAGGCGGGCAAGGGACACCGGATTCTTCACCGTCGACACGCCGGAGACGGCGCCGCACCGCCGGCCGGCGCCGTCCATAATGCTCGCCTCCATCTCCACCGTCCCTTTTTCCGACAGAGCAGATCCACGGCCAGAATTGAATATAGGATCCGTTTCCAGTTCGCGCACCTGCAGTTCATCAAAATCCCCAAATCCAAAACCCTAATTAATCATAATAACAATAATAAAACACTACTTCATTAAATTATTTACAGAATTAATTAACAATTAAATTAAATTGGAATTATATATATATATATCAGAAAACGTACGACGAGCTCGACGACGTCAATGGCGGACATGGATGATCGGAGAGCGGATATTCCGATGGTGAGGCACCGTGTGAGAAGCTTCTTCGCCGCCTCCTGCCGCTCCTTAGGAAGGTTCGGATCCACCCCAGCGCCGCCGTGCACAGCTATTGCCCAACCGGCCATACTCTCTATCTGTAAGTGTCTGTGTATATATATAGATATAAATTCTGTATGTATATATTTTGGGTTGTTGAAGATGACGGACGTATTTATAGGCGACGAGGCTGGGGATTATTTGAAGCAATAATATTTAATTTTATTTATATTTTTATATAATATTTTCGCTAGTCATTATTATTTTTTTTTTATTTTTTTTTTGCAATAGTTTTAGGTAACATTATTTTAATAAATATTTTTATGATTCTATCCTAATCTTTTATTCGTGTATTGAAGTAAAGAAATATTTCTATTTACATATTAGTCATTATTTGCTAATTTTTTTTGTTTGGGTGCCGTTTTTTAGATACGATTTTGATAGTTGTTTTTGCTTGTCGTGAATTTGTGAATTGCATTAATAATAATAGAAGGAGAAATTTTCACTTTAATAACACTATTTTTCAATTGCAATTTTTTAAAAATAATACTTCATTAGTCCAAATACATAGTATACATTAATTTTTGATGCAATATTTAAAAAATAATAATATTTTAATTGTAATGTATAGTTAAAAGTAGTGTAATAACATTTTTGTCATTATTTTTTGGTAATGGGTGTGTTTGTTTTGGGGTTTGAATTTTGAGTTGCGATTTGAATAGTAAAAATTTTGAATTTCAATAGTTGTATGGTGTGATATAAATAGGTGGTGACGTGATGTTTTGAATGTAAAATTGATTTTAGCATAATACTCCCTCCGTCCCGGTGAAAGAGTGTTGTTTCTTTTTTGCAAATAGATTTTTTAATATTAATATTATATTTTATTGTAGTAAAAAGGACAAAAATATCCCTATTAATATAGTGCAATATAAAAGTAATGGCATTTGTGTAATAGATTGTAAGTTTGAAGGATATTCATTATGTTAGGTAAGTAGTACAATTACTAAATTAGAAAATAGTAACCTTGTTTTGGGACGGACGAAAATAGAAAATGACAATCTTTTAATGAGACGGAGGAAGTATAAAAAATAAAAAATAGATGTTTGATTTGATATTTCTGGGGGAAAAAAATAAAATGAATAGTATATTTAAAATCGAATCCCCCAAACAAACACACCCAAGTAGATACTAACAGTGTATTAAGTATAACCTAGCGGCACATGAAATATAAATATGCAAATATAAAATATAAAATATAAAATATGTTAATATAATATAAAATACAGTATATAAATTGACAGTGCATACTATCATTAAACTCGTTATATAAGATATATAAAAACAATTCATATAAATTTATGGCACATAGCTTCCATTAACACAAAACATATAGGTGTGTTTACTTCTAAGAATTTGATTTTGGATTTTAGTTTTGAATAGTAAAATTTTGAATTTAAATAGTTATTTGATGTGATATTTTTTAATGTAAAATAAAATTTTTGTGTAATATAATAAATAAATAATAGGTGTTTGATTTGATATTTTTGGAAGAAAAAAAAAGTTTGAATAATAGAATCAGGATAAAAACCCTAAGTGGGTGTTTGGTACAAATAATAAAATTGCAGAGAGAAATTAAATTGAGTAGAGAATGAGAATTAATTCTCTTGTTTGATAAAAAAGATAATTCAGTTAAGAAATGTAAAAAAAAAATGCAGTTATATGAATGAATCAAATAATAATAAATGATTAACCGGATAAGAAAAAAAAAAAAAAAGAGTTTTAACAAAAAGAAAATTCATGAAAAATATTTTTGATGACTTTTAAAAAAATTATAAATTATATACAATGTTTTTTAAAATTATATTTTAGTACAATTTTTTAAAAAATTGTAAAAATTAAATATTTTAACAGTAAATTAAATTTTTTTTTGTAAAATTAAAATAATATAATTTTAAAAAAATTATAAAAATTAAATAGTATAAAAAAAATAAGAAAAAATATATATATATTGCAATATCATTTCTTTTCATTTCTCTGCATATGGGAGAGAAATGAAAATATAGAAATAATTTATTTCTCAAGTTTTATTTCTCTCACTCAAACAAATAAGAAAAATAAGACCATTTTCATTTATCTGACCTCATTTTTCTATACCAAACACAACTTAAAAGTAAACAGACCTACAGTTTTAACTAAAGTCATGTATTTATCTTGCTATTTTATATGTGCTGATTAGGACAAATTGACACTATGCATTCTACCCAGACTCATTTGCTATTTGGTAAGGGTGTGTTTGTTTGGGATTTGAATTTTGAGTTATGATTTGGATAGTAAAAATTTTGAATTTGAATAGTTGTATGATGTAATATAAACAAGTGTTGATGTGATATTTTGAATGTATAATTAATTTTTAATGTAATATAAAAATAAAAAATAAATATTTAATTTGATATTTTTTTGAAAAAAAAATAGGATAAATAGTAAATTTAAAATCCAATTCCCCAAACAAACACACCCTTAAATGTCCCAAAATAACAAAATATATTTATGAATTACTTCGAACCGGACAGGTCGCGGATTTTCATGATGAATCGAATCTTGTTCCGCCAATCCCACTTGCCCTAATCCGAAAATTTTCTTAATTTAGGTTCTTAAAATAGATTTCATGTAATAATAATAATAATAATAATAATAATAATAATAATAAGATTAAACTGTTATTTTAGTTTTGTATTTGACCATTTTACTATATAAGGTCCTCAAGTGCCTAATTGGTCATGTTGGTATCTATATGGTGATGACATATCAGCAATGGCAGACGAGCGTGGTGGAATTCAGCGTCAAATGATCATTTAAAAAAAAATAAATTATTTATGTAATTATTTTTAAACAGATCAAATTAAAATCCTAAAACTATAAAAGTATCAAATACGAGACCTGAAAAAGCAAATACAAACTATAATAATAATTGCAAAATATAAAAGATTCTCCAACGGATTCCAGTCCAGGCGGGGAATCTCGGACACGGAATACGACGGCGGCGCAAGAGCCGGTGTATGGGTCACGTGCACGTTCACGTGATTGCGGATTTGGTTAGTTTTTCCATGTGTGAAATATATAAATAAATAAATAAAAGTCTGTCCGAGTTGTCTGATTAAAAATAAATAAATAAATAAATAAACGTGTAATGAGTATAATAATTTTTAATATAATTAAAAAAAATAATATGTGCAAATAATAAATTTTATGTGATAAGGACGATGATTGGTGGATGAATATTTGATTAGGGCGATGAATAAGCAACAAATTTCCATTTTGAGATGAGCTTTGAAATCGTTGAATTTCTATTATTTTTTTATTATTGATATTTAATTTTTTAATAATAATTTTCAAATTAGGATAGCTGGATATGGCGTAATTGTAATTAATTTATTTTGGTGACGTGGTGCTGACTCATGCGAGGGAATCCTCTCTGCCATCACGCACCTAGAATATTTAGACTGTGTTTTTTAAAAATTTTACCATAAATTTTTACTATTTAATTTTTTTTAAAATATTTAATTAAATAATTATTTTTTTTATATTTCATTCGTATTCATTTACTTTTTACACGAAATTTTAAAAATATTAATATTATATTGAAATATAGTAGGAATAAAGTGTAAATAACTAAAATAACCTTATTAGTAGTATTGTATGATATAAAGGTAATGACATTTGTATAATATATTTTAAGTTGTAAAGGTATTTGTATGTTAAGTAGACAATACAGTTACTAAAAAAAAATGAATACTTTGTTATGAAACAGACTAAAATGAAAAAAAATGGATATTTTGTTAGGGGACGGAGGGAGTATTATTTTTACAAATTTATTTTACATTCAAAATATCACATCGATATCTATTTATATTATACTTATAAATTTATTTAACATTCAAACATCAAATCAACATTTATTTATATCACATTGAACAATTATTCACATTCAACTTTTTAGTGTATCTTAAATGGAAACAGTTACGGTATTGAATTGAAAAAATCAACACTGTGCGAATTTTCCAAATCAGCACTAGTAATATATATAAATATCACACAGTCTTATTATATGCATTCTGTGTATAATAAAGACGTGTATTGTTTGTTAATAATTGCAGTGTGTTATATAACAATACGTCGTATGCTAAAATAAACTGTTATATATGTTGTATCGGACTATAACATGCGTTATTAGTTCATTATTGTATTTGTATTATATTACTCACTTTTGTCTCACTTAATTTGTCTACTATTTTTATTTTTGTTTATCTCATGTAATGTGTCCTTTCTTTTTTTGGAAATACAATTATACACTTTAATCACATTTTAAAATTCATAATTTATAATTTTCTTTATATTAATTAAAATATTTAGTCATCTTAATCTTAATGCACAAAATCCACATGTGATTTCACGAAATTGAGCCAAATCTCACATACTTCTAAAACTACGTCAAACTCTCTCGTTGTTTCATAAATTCTGCGTCTAACTCCCTCGGCGGTTCTTATTTACTGGTATTTGATATAAAGGCGCATAAACAGCGATAAAATTCTAAAATCTCAATTTCTAAACACCAAAAATTACAAATATATTTTTTATATATATATTTAGCTTAAAAAAAAGCAGTAAAAATAAACTCTTAAAACCTAATAAAAATAACGAATTTTTAATATGTTTACTATTTTTTAGGCTAAATATATATTAAATAAGTGAATATATTTGTAATTTTAAAGGTTTACAAATTGAAATTCTAAAATTTATTCGCAGGTTTGGCGCATTTAGGTCAAATACGGTTAAATAAAGACCGCCGAGGGGGTTAGACGTCGAGTTTATGAAACCACGATGGAACTTGACGCAGTTTTTTAAGTATTGGAGATTTGACTCAATTTCATGAAACCACATGTAAATTTTGTACAATTTAGCCAATTATTTTTATTAAATTATAATTATTTTTACTAATATATTTTTTAATTACTCACTAATTACACAATACTTAAATTTCCGTATCTATTTAAATCAGACAAATTAGCCGAAACGGAGGGAGTCATATATACAATGTATTGCATGTAATAATATCGTGTTTTA